CCAGCCACTTTCCCCACCCCCCCCTCAAGACCCCGATTCCCTAAGCCAAAACCCACCCCCCCACCCCACCCCACCCCGATTCTCTCTCTCTCTCTCTCTCTTTATTTTTTCAAATGTTATGTTTTAATATTTTAAAGTTAATTTCAAAAAGGTTTATAGGTTTTTTGAAAGCCAAAAAAGGGCTTATAGTGTAAATTTAACGGACTGGATCACATTGGCTAACGGTTCTAAACACAAGCACTAAATTGGCTAAATTAAAAACACATTGATTAAATTGACCAACGCGGTAAAACATAAGGACCATTTTGACATTTAGGCCTATATTTTTTTAAACCTATGTAATACAAAATAATCTTTGCATAATGTTCTCATGAAGTCGGGTAAAAAACCTATGGAAATAAATAAATAAATCAAATCCCGTTCCTATATTAATACTAATACAAAGAATGCAAGCTGGTTATCTGTGGAGAGAAATTGTTAATGAAATATACTTGAGCACTTTGTTGATAAAAAAAAGAAGAAGATAAATTGCATGTATATGTTTTTAATACAAACAATAGTTTAAATTATAGGGGAATGAAGTTTCTCATACACACATTAACTAGCTGCAATAGGAATTCAAATACGAGAACATTGATCTGCAAGTCAAGATCCTTTTACCACTAGAAGCGATATATTGCATGGTTATAACTTGAAGAAAAAAAAAATTCAAAAATACCCACGCATTATCGTATGTGTCTATCTTGCAGGGTACTATAATATAAATTTTGGTAAATGAATTGATCAGATACAGCCGTAAAAGTTAAATATGGGGGTTGAAGCATTTGCAACCTATACGACCGATGGTTCGCACCTGGTGCCCCCCAACCCAACCACCAAATGAAAGCTTCGTTTTACTGCATATAGCTAATTAGCTAGCTGCTGGGTTGGATGCACATGCAATTGCGCATATGATGGAAGCCTTATAAATACAGCCATAAAACAATACTATATATTACATTTAAGCTTAGCATTCAAGTCCAGCTTTCCATACATGATCTTCGCGATATATGGAAGTAGCAGAAGAAAAAGTAGGAGAACGAAAGAGAAATATGCCATTGCCATCCAAAACTCAGGTATTTCATAGACATATATATGATGTGTTATGTGTACTGTATAATTAATTAATAATATAGTATTGTCTCTGCGCTAGCTACATGATTAACTACCTTTTTCTAGCATTGAACCTAAGGAACTTACATTATTTGTTTCTGCAGAAAAGGATTGGGCAGTAATTTCATGTGGAACACTCATTTGGGCAAGAATGTATCACTAATTTTAATAGACGGAGGGCGCCATCTGCAGCCCCATGAAGAAACCTCAACCAAGAACCTTCACGAGAGGCCATCGTGGGAGAGGGCATGTATGGCCTTCGTCAATCACTTATACACTTACACTTTCATGCTTAAGAAGAAATTATTATATAATTTGTTTTCATCAGAATATACAGGTTTTGGCGACAAACAAAGTATGTATGTATGATCCCCAGCTAGCAATAGGGTGACTTCATAAGCTCATGCTAAGAACGCATACCAATTGATACTTCAATTAAAATAGGTCATTTTACTTATGCACATTTCAGATTGTATGAGAAGTATATTTCATTTCCTTTTCTGGTTGTAACCAAAACATTACAAGGGATCGATATTTTCCTAATTTACGCATTACCATTACCATTTGAGAATCATCATGAATTAATTTTTCAGTATTCCATGTATGAGCATTAACATTATGAAAATGGATAAGACCCCAAACATAAGAACAAGAATTTACATGATAAGCCCTCCTAGTACGTACTGATTTAGATGACAGCTAGCTAGCAATGATCTGGTTTCTTTGTCTTTTCCCAACGTTTTACACAATTCTTTCTGATAAGAAGAAGAAAAAAAGTAAAAAGCTTTTACACAAATTATTAATTGCCCTTCGATTTCCTTCCACAGCTAGGAGAGAGAGAGTTATATACATATATGTATATATATATATATATATATATCTACTAATTATAATTAACAAAGGCCTTAATATGAGTTATCATTTCATGGGATCGAGTTTTCGAAAGCTGAGACTTATCTAGAACCTGAAATGCATGCCCAACACCTTTGTACACCACACACTCCACCTTCATCTTACCAGCTCTGTTGCTGTTATGATCCAATGCACAACAAAACTCTAAGTTTCTATCTTTTAATATATCCATCTCTGAAATGCAAACCATGGTAGCCCAAACAGCCCTTAGAGAGCTAGCACTCTTCAAAGGGTTGCACCATGGATGGTCGCGATTAGCGCCACATGGCAGCGCCAATCGCCAGTAAGTATCAGAAGCTGCCAAGCTCAACGCAGACCTAGGTTGCTTCACCATATAGTACTTCTCAGAACTTGTTCTTGCCTCTCCCCCAAAAAATGGTTGCAGCAAAATTGTACCCTTAATAGTTAAAGGCTGAATTAAGCTTGAAATGATCATTTGTTCATCACATGGACCGTCAGAAATAATATTGCAAAGTCTTGTGCCCACATTATAGGCTATATTGGCACCAGCACTGTCCCCCATTAGAAAAATTCTAGAAAAGTCACACTGTCTTGACCACCATTTATTATTAGCCCCACGTTGACCTAGAGCTTGTTGCTTTAGCCACAAAAGGGCCTTCAACCCATCTTCATATGCTGCTGGGAGAGGGTGCTCAGGGACCAGTCGATAATTCACAGACATGATTAAGCAACCGGCTTTGGCTGCTAGCTTTGCTAAGAATTCATGGTAACAACTCCAAGCGGCTGAGCCAACACAAAACCCACCTCCATGGAAATAGACTAGCAAAGGGAGCTTGTTGTCATTTCCATGGCATTTGGGAACATAGAAACGTGACCAAATGTTTGTGAACTTGTCAATGACCACATCCCTGGATGTCACGCCTAGCTCGGGAGCCACTGCGGTTGTGACACATGGAACAATATGGGGTCTCTCCACATGTCCATCTTTGTACACTTTAATAAGCCCTTCAATTTCCTCAATCACATTCCCATGTTGTTGGTCATGCTCATGAGGGTTGGTTTTTGGGTTGAAACTTGGATCTAAGGTGATAGCAGCCATTGATCTCTTTGCTCTCATATGAAGAATGTGAAAGAAAACTTTGGAAAGCTAGCACAAAACTTTGAATAGAGTTTTGGGCAATTAAGGAAACGTTTGTGGCTCTGCGTTCCTTAAATAGATGATGAAAATGCGAAAATGATAAGGCAAGGAAACCTATAGTTGGGGCAGCTAAAGAGAGGAAGAGAGATCAACCCATCTTATCCTGCCAAGTGGGCAATTGGGTCACTGCCACATGTCTTCACGTGGATCTAGTGTAGTATAGGGGCCATGGGAGTGCCTTTTGGTAACCCAGTTGATTAACTAAATTGTCAGATTAATCAAGTATTAATTTTCTTCAGTCGGTAAGTTAAGTCATAAGTGCAAATTGTAAGTGACCTACCCATTAATCAGATGCATATTAAAATTAATTAGTTGGGTTTAATTAAAATCAATGAGAATAATTTTCACATAAACATCATATGTTTGACCTTTGATCATAATTACACCATTATGTTTTCTTATACAGCTGGGCTTGGAAACAGCTTTTCCTTTTAGAATATGTGCATGACATTGTTAGACATTTTAAAGCGACAATGCTGCAGCATTAGGGACTTGAGTGGAATCAAAGCACTAGCTAGCTAGAGGGACCTCACTTTTGGTTGCCTCCCAATACCATCTTTTCAACGGCACTGTTTTTGGGGCCATTATGCTTCCACCAAGGCAAAAGTAGAACCAGAGCATTATTAATCTTGAAAATTAACTCCTCCCATTTCCATATATGTTAGAAGCGCCCTCCCCTGTGTTTCAGGACGTCCATGGAACATGCACCTTGTAAGTCATCAGTGGATGTGGATCTTTCCATGGTCAAAGGCTTTTGGCTTGTCAAATGTCAAATAAATTTTTATTATGAGACCCACTTTGAAAAGGATCTTAATGGGAAATATCTGAAGAATATGGTACATGAATGTTGTCAGTTTTTACAAACAATCAGGGAGCATCAGTTGGGGATAAGAGAATAATTGCACTAGCTGGCTGATTGTTCTTGATCGAGCTATTGTACCTTCCTACTACCTAACGTGTCACACCAAAATTTGTACAATATTCCTTATTAAAACAAGAATTAGTAATGTTGAGTTGAGAATACACCACCTAATTATATGTCACACCAAAATTTGTACAATATTCCTTCTCAAAACAAGAATTAGTAATGTTGAGTTGAGAATACACCGTTCGAGAGTAATGTTACAGACACAAATTCTTTTAATAATTTGTTGTTTACCAAACCGATAATGACATAGGAATTCATGTCATGTTACAAATTCTATATTTCAATGCGAATATCATTGAGAAAATTATAGGCAAAATTAAACACAAATAAATTACTATTACAAATTACATTAACAGTATAACAATTGGCTTTGAATCGCAATTTGCTGTGGGTCTAGTTAGCGCGTCATTCCAGACTGAAGCTGTGGAGGCAACGGCGATGGCGATGCCATTGTTGCAGCTAGTCGTTTCTGCCTTTCGACGTTGCCATGCCAACCTATGGACATGTCAAAGCCCTGGTTCTGAAGCTGCCTATACTCTTGGCACAAAGCACATTCCTCGCAGCAAAAATGGACGCAACAATCTGTGCAGGGCTTCTCCTCCACCAAAAATTGCCCTCTCAGTTTGGATCGATAGAAGCACGAATACAAGCACGAGCAACCCACCAAGCACAACATCAAACTGTAAATAGTCCCGCTCACTCCACAAGCTGCATGCAAATTGCAACAAACACATATATTTATTTATATTTCATGGTATGGTAGAGATAAAATTAATAAAGGAGAATAAAAACTTACAAGTTGATCCCCTGTCCACAATTTCTGCAATGCGTCCAAATGTCACACATGGACACCAACACGTCAAGCAACCTATACACAGAAAAAATTGATAAACTATTATTATTGACAAACATCCACTAAAGTTTTACTTTGGAAGTAAAAGATAAAATGACAAAAATGCGACATGGCACTTACAACTGCTAACATCTTCACAACAGTTGCAGAGCCCAGTGGACCAAGGCACTGGGGAATGAGGAGTATTATTGCTGATCATGATCGGATCAACCGGAATGCCGGTGGCTGTGAGAGGAGGCGCTGACGGGGCCGGTCTGGCCGGAGTGACAGACTCTTTCTGTAACTCAGCCATGCCCATATGCTCTTAAAGATAGATGATCTCCACATATATATAAATACAATGGATCAAAGAGATATATAGTTTCATAATTAACCAACATGCCTCTTCGTAATAAACGGTTAATGGATGAAGAAGGGATACGTAAGTTTTCAAAATCCCTGATTAATTTTCCTATTAAGCACTACTAGATTTCGGTAGTTTGTGATTTTTCTTAATTAATTACGTGCGTTAATGATTAATTAACAACCTCCAAACAGAATTAAGCCATCTGTACTGTTTAACTTCAAGAACCGTATTGCCCAGAAAAACATCTCAACTTGGAACAAGTCATCTAAAACTCATTTTTTTTAAGCGTGACATTTTCCTGGTACATACATACATAGCACAACCTCTCTCTTAATGGTACCATCCTTCCTCGTTGACCAAATTAATCTATGTTTCATTTCCATTAACGTCTCTTACTAAACTTTTGAATTTTGGATCTACGTGGTGAGGTGAGGTGTGGTCAGACTTCTAACCTTTGATATGATATATTATCTCTAACTTTCGCACTAGTTTCATATCTTTTTCGTGTTAGAATTATTCACCTTTCATTTTGTTAATTTATTTCGACTGATCAAGAAGAAATGAAGCATAATAATTTCCACGAAATGAATCCCCTTGTAATACGGTGTAGTACGTTGGGCTCTTCGTAGTGATAATCTCAACCCCATTTTTTCTTATAAATATAAAGTGCCATAGTATATAGATAGGTCATCGGCCATTCAATTCAAGAATTAAGAACACATTGTTTTTCTGGCGCTAACAATGACTTCATATAACTCCAATTCCAAATTGGCTCAACTTGAAAGGCAACTTCCTCAAGGGCAATGGTCCACTGGCCTTTTCGATTGTTTGGACGATCGTTCTAATTGTACAAATTTTCCTACCATGGACAAATTTTTCTTTTTCTTTTTCTTTTTCTTTTCGTTTCGCTTCTCCGTGATTGACATTTCTTCTTCATATTTCATTTTTTTTAAGGTCTTCTCACTTGCTTCTGTCCATGCATCACCCTTGGGCGGATTGCGGAGATTGTTGACAGGGGGACTACATGTAATTAATTATCAAAAACCCTACTCAATATGTTATATGTTCATTAAAATGTTTGATTAAAAAGAGTGACTAATTAAAGTAATATATACTTGGCATGCAGCTCGTAGGATGGCTAGCCTCAACTCCTATGCAATGGGGTCTATAGGTTGTGGGTGGCTATATTCTGGAAAATATCGAGCCAAGTTGAGAGCAATGTTTTCACTACCGGAAGAACCATGCGGTGATTTTGTGCTCCATGGCTGCTGCTGTATCTTTTCTCTTTGTCAGGAGTACAGAGAACTAAAAAATCATGGAATCGATCCCTCCATAGGTAACTCACAATTCACAACCCTATTTAAATTCAGAAATTGATATATGGGCTCAGAAGAACCATCTTTTTCAAATTTGGAAAAGAGTTTCTGAGTATTTGGGCTTGGACCCTCCTCACTAGTTGGGCGTACGAAAACTAACCCCAGGCCCAACGAACACTGGGAGCGGCTGATTTAGGTTCAGATAGGAAAACACACACAAAAAATAATTAATAAATAAAATGGTGTCAAATTTTCCACATTTACAAATGATCATGAATCTTATTGTTGTGCATGGTTGTTTTCAAGGGTGGCAAGCCAACGTTGAGAAGTGGAACCGGGAAGGGATCAAGCCTCCAATTGTGGAATCGGGCATGGATCGTTAATTCACCGCCGTCTTGTGTAAAAAATATGTCATGGGTTTTGTTTAGGGTTTGTTCATCAGATTGATTGTTTACGAGTACGTATTTATGTTCATTCTCATTACGTGACCGCCAAAAACTTTCGTACATGTATTATTTATTATGTATGTATTTAATTTATGTGCTTCTTTTTTGTAACTTTATGTGTCTTAAGCTACCCATTTATGTCCTTTTGTTCTAGATATCAGCAAAAGCAGGGCCTTTGTTTACGTGTGCAAATTCTATGAATCACCTTTAATGGAAAACTTTCTAATTTTAACGTTAAACAAAATAAATTATCCCAAGTCATTATCGTCGACTTGCATGAACAAGGCAGAGGAATTTAATAAGCATACAGAATGGACATGTGCCGACGTACGGACAGAGACAGATTCTTGGACTTGGATTCATTTGGAGACATGACAGATATGCTGATTATATTCATCATTATTGACCGCAAACAAAGTATTTTCTGTTGTCCAAATTCTTCTATATATAAAATCCAAAAGTTACTCTTTTTCTGCAACAACCCAACCCAAGACACCATTCATTTCCTTCACAAATATCCCAACTTTCAAGTTTTGTCACAGAATCTGATTTCTGTCTTGAAATTCAACATGGAGGTGATGAGCACAAAATCCAGTCCTGAATTTGATGATGGTGGTGCTTATGTTGATGACGATGTATTTTTCGCCGATATCACACGGCAGATTTTGCTCTTGACCGCAGACAATGAAGATTTTCCTAAGACCAAAACCACAAGCTCATTTGGTACTAATGTCACCAAACGTAGCTTTGACATCCCAGCTCTTGATTCATCCTCACTTGGGTATATCAGTTGGTTGGGAAATAAGAACACTGATTGTTCAGTTCCAGCCTCGCTTTCAAAACTATGGGAAAACAGCAATGGGACTGGAGTTTTTATCCCTCAGGCTGTAAATCCAAGAAGCAATTACAAGCCAAGTACTTGTTCTCATCCTTTCTTATGATTTTTCTTTTTCTATAAATTTTTAAATAATAAAGAAAATTGGGTTTTATTTAATCAATTGATTCAGTTCAATGACTAATGTTTTTTTTTTGTCCCTAGCAGGAAGGATGAATAACAACACAAGAATTTACAAGCGGGTGCAGAGCAAGCAGTGATGAAAACAAGTTTTTCCCTTTTCATGGATCCAAGAACCTCAGATAGATACTGTCTCGCCCACTATGCTTCTACTAACAATTCAAAAATAAACGGAGCACAAACATCATATTGTATAGAAAAGTGTAAGGTGACAATCAAATTTCATTGTATTGAGAAATTTAATATTATTTTATTTAATATTAATTTTCTATTTAAATGAAAATTAATAAAGACTATTGGATTAAAAACATAACTATTGGGTTATTATAATGGCCTATCTTCAAATGGGGGATGACACTCATTATATATGTCTGGAACCCTTCAGAGATGCATTGTTTGCCTTTTTAGATTGGGATACCTTTTTGGAAAGGGTATTTCATCATCTATAAATAGAACAATCCTCCAGCAGTCATTTGATTCAATTAATTCACTACATATAGACTTCCATATATAAAGAGCATTAGAGTTTTCATATTCGCAAAGAGAGGTTCTTGCATAATTTGGTTTAAAGTTCCTTATGAATTGCAATGCTTCTTTCACAAGGAGGGGAGTCATTGTATCCTAAGAGGCAAACGCTAGTAAACCATAAGCACCAGTGTGGGGCGTAATTCGTCTTAAGATCAGAGTGTCCAACACTTGCCTTGACTCAATTAAGGTTCTTCTAATTCAATTATCCTTTTGCAAAATTTTGTTCTGTTTGTAGTATTTATTTATTTTATAGCAATTTAGCACTCATTTTTCCAACAATTGTATTATTTCATTCATTTTATAGCAATTTAGCACTCATTTTTCCAACAATTGTATTATTTCATCTTCATGTTAAGTACGAATGAATTGTAACTTATTCTTTATATTCACCTAGTCTATCTATTAATCAAGTCGTATGAGCTAAACTCGAGTGATAATGATACAATTTTTAAGGTAAGGCCATGTTTGGTTCTTGGGAAAGGAGGCTTGAGGGTGGGGAAGCAATTGCTTTTCCATGTTTGGTAAGTCCGAGCATGAGAAATCATTGCCTTACACATAAGAAAGTAAGGGGGAAAGGGACCCTTTTTCTCATAGAAAAGTTTGGGAACATGAGCCAACATTAAATACACATTTTTCATGACCATATTGTCCCTATTAACAATTTAGAATTACAATATAGTATTAAATGCATTCTTTTTTTTATTTGATTTCATATGGGTATAATTGAAAAATTAAACTAACTTTGTTTTACATTCCTACACAAACCAAACATGTGAAATTAAATAAAGTGGTATTTCTTAATTACTTTATTAGTATTACCAAACATGGGAAAGGAATCTCCATTTCCCATCATTTGAGAAATGATATGAGAAATGATTTCCCCTCAAATCCGTTTTGTGAACCAAATGGAGCCTAAGATTTATCGAAGAATTTGGCAACCACAAATGCTTTCAGTCCCCTGACTATCTGATAGGATTAGTATTAGCACATAGTGTGAAAATGAGTATACATTTCCATGCCCACGAGCAAGAGGGCATATACTTCAACTTAATTACATGTTAGAGAACGGCCACTCGGATTTCATTAAGTCGATGACTGACGTTTCTATAAGCCAGGATGCAGGGCCTAACCTGTGACTGATAAAAGAAAAGCATCATAAGAAAAATGGGGCCTCAAAGCTGAATCTGCATTTTCTTAATTAACCATCTTCGTGGTCTCAGCACTACAGCTGGTTTACTAATAGTGGGGCAATAGCAAATTCTTTTTTCTTCTACTTTTTTTGCAAGTCCTAAGGCCGGGTCAAGGTGAAAGCGAAAAAACATTAGTCCCTAGGACGTGCCAACCATAAAGAACTGAGTGCTCGGAGACGAGAGAAGTAGTCACTGATGACGAGGAGGGCACGAGCTGCTTGACGAGTGGTCAGAATACGATGCATTTGTTGTAGAGTTTGCTGTCTCAAAAGGTCAGCCTAACAAGTGAGAAGGTATGCACATTATTTATACATATCCAACATATATGCACAAAGACACTACAAACAAATCACAAGAAGAAGATAATTCGCAAATCCACACACTTGTTACCTGGTGAAGGAAGTTCTCAAGTGTGGCAAGCTTGCCCATAGCAATTGCCATTTGGCCCATGTAGTCTGCAACATTGCCAGAACCAGCAAGTCCATGAGTACCTGAGGAAAGCGTGTCTACAAGAGATTGTTGCAAAGCTTCCATTCCTTGTGACAAGGCATCTTCAGCCTGTTGGGAGGATTGCTGCAGATTACATATGCCCATCAACTGTTGATCTGTCAAAGGTTCAAGCTGGTTCCCAAGTATCTGAATATCCAACAGTAAATTTTAAAAAATAATAATTAAAATAGACCAACTTGAATATCTATACTCGTCAGGCCAACGGGGCAAAGGGTATGCAATTTGGGAAAAATCAAATAGAAGATCACCTTGAGAAGTTCAGACGAACGGAATCCGCCCAACCACATAAAGCACCTTTCTGCAGGTGTTTTCCACATGCCAGAAAGCATGTGAAATACATCAGTCTTTGCAGCAATGCTCTTTAACCTGAATATTTCATCGTAATGGGTCATTACGCTATCAACAAGGATCCGCAATTCATTATCACCCATATGGGAATTCACAGCTGATCGCATATCATGGATCAGCCGTTGATGTTCGTCAAGCCAGCGTGCATACTCCAAGTCAAATGCTAAGGCCCCTGAAAAGTACAACCCGTTATAAGTTCACTGTCCGCTGTGTAAATTATGATGTTGATGTCTATCTTTATTTAACCTCTCTCTAGGCTTAACATCATATATTTACTTGTTTGCCTTTGTACATTCTTTCTACCAAGCAGTTAAAAAGGACAATTTAATAATTGGCTAATATAGTATTACTAATTACAATTTTCTTGGATTTAGTCGTTTAGCAACTATGGCCGAGAATCCTTCCAAGGAATGAAGTTTTCCACACAAAAAAATAAAATAAAATTCATGTAGTTAAAGCAATTTACCATTTCCTGCCATTGAATGACCATTATCCCCAGAAAGTCCAGTTGCAATAAACATACCCTGCATTGAAATAGTAAACCTATAATGAAAGATGAAATAAAGATATATATATATTTTATGGATAGAAACTTTAAAGTCCTTCACCTGCTGCCGTGCTCGCTGAAGCTCTTGCTCTAGTTGTGAAAGCCTAAGTCGACTATTTTCCAGCTGCTGGACATATGCCTATCCAAAACCAAAACCTATAAATGATCCAAATATGTTGTATTCATTAACTTAAAAAACAATACAACTTTTCATTCAACAGACAAGGATTCAGGGGAACATCAATTAACTAGAAGGGTACCAAAGAGGTAAGCTAATTAATAAGGGAGCAGAACCAAAAGGGCACAAAGGGTAATCCAACCAAAATAGCACAGTGAATGAGAAGCATTTATAAGGCAAACCTAAATCATAGAGCTGACAGTGAATCTTCAGGGTAGTCTACACCAAGATTTTTATGTCTCAACATTTTCTGACATTATTATGTATAGAGCTAAAAGATCCAGAGCCCAGGTCCCAGGCCTAGGCAGATGAAACTTTAAAGAAAAAGATTTCCAAAAATGTGAAAATTACAAAGTAAATGAGAAAAGATGCATACTTTCTTCCTTAGACGACTCTTCCTTGCTGCTTCTCGATTCTGGGCCAGCCTACGCAGCGTCTGGAAATTAATTAGCCCAATAAGATCAGCATTCAAAAAAGAAAAATTACCATCCAATCCAAGCACATGACTTTGATAAACAATATAGATATATCTAACCTTTTGATCTCCACTTCTTTCCCTGGGCTGTTCCATTGAATCCACTACTGTTAGTGCTCCATGCGGAACTCCATGAAGCTAAAAAAGAAAAAAGAAATCAAATTTCATATTAAACCAATTCACTTTGACTCCATTCAAGAAACATCGCTAGCTTAGGTAGCTAAAATTTAGAGTAACATATTCGGTTTCAAAGTATATCAATTTAGAGATAGGCCCACCATTGATCTGGACAGAACATGTACTAATTGAAAGCGTTCTGGAAGCTAAAAACAACATGGATGGCAATCAAAAAATTCCAACTTTCACAAGATTCTAAATTCCAAGCTGACACCCACCCACCCATTAAAGCCTATGGATAGATTCCAATTAAACAGTGCATAGTAACACGGCATATGCTCATGAAACAGAGAGAGAGAGAGAGAGAGAGAGAGAGAGAGAGAGAGAGATGAAGGTACTTGGTTTTTATCATCGGTGTCAACGTCTGTGGAGGTATCATCAGTCTGCTGGCTGTTGTCAGCCATGGCTGAATCACCCCAATTCTCAAAGTGTCCGTTTCCCGACGACGTCGTCCCTTTCTGCTGGTGGTACATGTATTGGTGATGCCCTGTCTCTACACAGCCTCCTCCTGTCCCGGTTATTGTTGAGCCTATGTCCAAACACCCAGTGCTCTGCACACACAAACAAACCATCCCATAAGCCCAACAAGAAGACACTGAAGCTAAGCTACCTATATCATAGTGCAAGAGAAGAAAAAGAGAGGGACTTGGGTTGGGTTGAGTACCGTGTTCAAGGCCCCATAGTGCAAGTTATTAGGTACAACAGCAACATTGTTTGCTTTTAAACTGAACATTGAGCCTACGACACATTAAAACCACACATATAAATAACAGAATACATATAATACTAGAGAGAGAGAGAGAGAGAGAGAGAGAGAGAGAATACTTGGGATTAAATCAACAGCATCATCGTGAGGGAAGACAGTAGCGGACTGTTCAAGCTCTCCAAGATCCGTAAAACGCGTTTGGTTTCGGTTAGTGTCGTCTCCTCTGTTTTTGCACAGCACAGATTCACAGAAACAGAGGCGCTGGGTTATTATTTAGTGATAAACATAAATGTTAAGACTTTTTTTTCTGTGCACATAACCCATTTCTTATAAACTCTATGAACACCCAAAAAACCCATAACTTAAACAGAGACCCAGAAACCAAAAACAAAACCAATTAGCAGAGAGAGAGAGAGTGAGACAGAGAACAATAAGTAGACCTGAAATAGAAGGAAGAGTGGGAATACAATTCTGGGTTTGTTGAAGCTGCTTTGAAGCTCTGCATTTTTTTAAGTGACTTGGTGTTCCTTTCTACCTATATCTCCTTTA